AAAAAAATTTGAGCCAAATCGGCCCAGCTGTTTTCAATTGATGAAATGTTATACATTTTTGGCTCCATTTATATATATATATATATAGATAACTAATAACTAATTATTCATTAACTTTATCGGACGAAATTTACGCCTAAAACCTTTTCTGTGATGTCCTCTTTAATTTCAAAAAAACTGCACGACGATTCAATAAGTAGTTTCAGATTTTATCCCAAACAAAAAAAAGCGACTTCATTTTATATGGTAGTATAGATTGTATTACAAATGCCGATACGCTAATCACCATCGGTATATGCAGTGCCATTCTAACTACCTATAACTATATAGAGCAGTGGTTTTCAACCTTTTTAACAATGCGGCACACCAATCCATAAATTATGTGAACCATATTTTATATATATATATATATATATACTATTTAAAGTTTACTCTATTAGAGAGTTATTTATTGTGAAATATATTAATACAATCGATCGATCGAGACGGCTGCGACGGCCATACTTATTATAAATAATATTATATATATCTATGAATAGTTCGATTAGTTTTCATTTCGAATATCAATAAGTTGGTAAATACATGCTTAAAAAGCAATTTATAGATTTATCGCGGCACACCGGTTGGGAACCACTGATCTAGAGCAACCGCATTAACCTACCCTTCCCTTCCCACCAAGTTATTTTGGTAAAATGAACTCCACATTTTTAATTAATTATTAATAAATAAATATCTATGTAGTTAATAATTTACTACATTCCATAAATATGTTAGGTTAAATTATTTATCAATAATATTCTATTTTTCGGTAATATCTATTCATTATTGTAACACATTATTTACAAAATTTCATATTTAATAAATAAAGTACAATTTGATAGGTGCTCATCTTAGATGTTTTTGTATAAAAAGAAAATTAATACCTATCTAAAATAAAATACGGGATTTTTATTTATCAAAAATACAACAATATGTATCACATTCGATAGGGACAACCCTTTATATGTTACCTGACGCGATAAAGATTTTGTAAACTTATTCGAATTCGTCATAAGTCTATATGAAAATGAATTTATCAAATTTTAAATTTTATTCATATAAACCCTGCTAAATATCAATATCTATATACATTTAACAATTTATATTGTCAACTATGAAAAAAATCGTTCTTACAAGTTTTATAAGTAGTAAAACCATTTAACGCCTTAAAACCAGTTAGTATAGAGTATATCTTTATACTATTTATGCAGTGGCGTATTTTCAATTTTTCCTGTACCCCTGTACCCCCCCCCCCCCCGTAAATACGCCACTGTATATATGTAACATTAGTTATGTTTGAATATTTTAAATAGTTTTAAAAATAAAAATTTTGTCAGCGCAATATAGGAATTATAATTAGAAATGTCGAATACATTTCACAAGGCGTTTAGTAAATTAAACTAGAATCAGCAATAACTCTTATAGTTAAATATCAAATAACTTTTTCTACAGAAGTAACAGTCACCTAAAAAAAAATGTACACCAGTCATACTTGATATGACAAAGCTAATATTATAGTGGTAAGTCGATGTATGAGTGGATAATAATACCGTTTGAATCGATTACTGTTTTTTTTTCATTGTTTTCAATTTTATTGCATTATAACATTTTTCAAAGACATTTTACAATTTTTTATGGATAGTAAATAATTAAATGTAATAAGTAATAATAATTATTATAATTATAATAATGTATATCAAAACAATAATATTATTCTGACGTAAATATAAATACAAATAGTTTTTATTAATTAAAAAACATAGATACAAGTATTATATACACATAATTTAATCAATTTTCTGAATGTGACGCTTCATATATTTTAAATAATATAATATAATTATGATAGTTACACAGTTCTTTCATTTTTTAATTTTCAATTCAACTCCATAGATAAAACAATAAGACTAAAACGATTTTTTTTTTTTATTTAACCATATCATACATTAATAGACCCAAGGCAAACATATATAGCTCCTTTCCAGCTATTTTGACTATTAACAAATAAATAATTAAAAAAAAAAAATTAAAAAAAAAAAAATTAAAAAAAATATTCACAATTAAATACTAGGATACATTTCTAAAAAGAAATAAAAATTCAAAATGCACCTTGTTTCGTTTATATATCATACACAATGTACATTTTTATTTTTTTTAGTCAAAAGTTTTTTAAGTCTTTGAATTAAAAATGTCGGTTTGATGCAGTTATACAAAGTACTAAGATTATTGTTACAGTATTGCTATGAAAAGCATATCATAACCAAAACAATTTTAGTTTGATTATAAGGATGGTTTTTGTTTTCAAAAAAACTTAATAACATACATAAAATTATGAACAAAATAATAAATGTTATTATTATTAATTGTATGCATAAAGTAATTCTTAATTGCGATTCATATCGGATTTGTAATTTTACAAGTAGTACATAATATTGTACTTCCAAAATTATATTAAGGGTAATTTAAAAATTTATCAGTTCTATATAATGTTAATGGTAATGTCAAACCAGATGAAATCATTAAAAAAAAGAAAAATACATAATAATAATAATCATTAAACTAAAAGCGAAACATATATTATATTTAATGATTTATAATGACTAAGTAAATACATAGGTACTCTTTGAAGTGAAACATAAGACATATATATATTTAAAAGATTAAAAAAAATAAATGTATGTAAAATGAGATTATAAATAGGAGTACTAATCGTTCTTATTGGGTTTTGTATATATATTAATCTTTGCCTTTTATACAAAGTTTACAAATACATCATATAGGTATGATTTAAAAATAACAAATAAAATAAATTGTTAGATCTTATTCTGGGTTTAGTTAAATTAAACTAATTGTTAAAAGAAAACTAATTTAATGTTACACATAAGATTTTGTATACAATAATATTATTCATACATTGTATTATGTATGTATAATTTAAGTAAGTTATGATGAAAAATGTATTGTTTATGAAATTGTGGATAAAACCCATCTTTTATCAGTCCAATAATTATTACGTATACTAATATTACAAACAAATACAAATTATTCAATCTATTAAATTTCTAATAGTTAATTTAAATTTTATTTTGTGTAGTGCTATTGTGGGATATAATAATTAAAATGTACTTTGTATTTAAAGAAAGTAAAAGTATTATGTGATTTTAAAAGTTATGTATCCAAATACTAATTGAAAATTTTATAATTATGAATCTTGAAGTTAATTTTGTGATGTGTTACTTTTAACAATTTATGATTTGTCATCTTAGCACATAGAAGTCATTAAAATAACTGAAATGTTATCAATTAACAAATATAAGAAAAAAAACAATTTTTAACAACATAACTATTGAAATAATACATTAAATTAAGTAACACTAACAAAGTTTTGAATAAAACTATTTCGGTATGTAAAAGACAAAAACAATAACAAAAGAAGACAATCTAATGAATCCTAAAACATTGACCAAATACACACGCACACAAGAAAAAAATAAGGAACAAATTTGAGCCAAATCACATCATAATATTAAGTTGTATACAGTTTGAGTGTTATCCTTTGGCACATTTTGATCAAAGCTTAAAATATGTTTTACAACTTTATCGTAGTATACTGCGACATTAAAAAGCAATTTATATAATCACACAGAACATTACAGTATATGTATTACTTCAATGAAAGTTGAAAGAGGATTGGATTAAATAGTGTGGGTATATAGGAATTCTAGTTTTATAATGCACTGTTATTATGGTATCAATTTCAATAAAAGATAATTGTTATTATATAATAAAATTTTAAAGTTAAAATTCAATCATTATTGAAAAAAAAAATTAATTAATTAATTTTACTAGAAGTAAATTGTAATATTAAGTCTACTCTCATACATTTTTCTTTTAATACTTAATATACACATATGAAATATGTGTTTACATAAGAATAATTGAAGAATATAATTAAGGTTTTTAAATTATACTTGCAAAATGGTAATGGGGTGAGTAATAAACAAAGAATGAACTTTGATAATATAAATAAATATAAATTCAATATTTATCCCAAATCAAATTTAACACTAAAAAATATGAAAATTGTGAGTTCCATTTTATTTTATCATTTTAGGTACATATATAATTTTGATAGGAAATTTTGTTTATATAAAAAAAATTACAGTATGTATAAATATATTAATATTATTCATAAATAATAGTTATTTTATAAATAAAAACTGAACATTTTATTAATAATTTTTATTGTTGATTGGTAAAAAATACTCGGATTTGCATATAATCAGGTTTTGTAATGTTTAATTTGTGTACATCATTTGCTCATTAAAGTGCTATTTATATAGGGATCATAACAATTGTTTGTAAATATAAATTCTAAATTTTAACAGTATTCTTAGCAATTCAATCACAAACAGTTTTATCTCTTCTTTCTGGCATATTTAAAATAAAATTATGTTCATTAAATAAGCAAAATGTCTTCTCAATACCGATGGTATATACTATAATTTACTATGCTACTATATTTGCTCTTCTTATGTTATTAATTAATTTATATTTTATAATATACACTTAAAAATTCTACAAAAGGTGTAATAAACTAAACATAGACATTTAATGAAAAAAAGTGTTAAATAAATAATAACTGACATAATCTAAGAATATAATGTTATAACTATTATACAAAGATCTTAGAAGCTGTTATTACCTAAGTTAATTAAATAATAATTACAATAATATGTGATCATTTTGGAATTTTCAATAATAATATTATGAGTGGTAATTGGATATTGCAGGGGTAAAAATCTTTAGTTTTAAAATAAAATAATTTAAAATTGAAACAGTTGTGAAACACAGTGATTTTAGTATCGAACATTAATCATGTTTTATTACATACATTTGTTAGCATAAAATATTCCTTTTTATTTTTTTTTGGAATGTCCCATCTACGTCAAAACTATTAATTTGATGTACTCTACTATACAACATTAACATATTTATTTATCATAATGAATTTTATAGTTCTTGAACCGATAACATCTACATGAACCGGAGGTAACTGATTTAATTGCACAAACCCAGTGAAAATGTATATAATAACCACAATACTTTTGGACACATCATAAATCAACTGATAGGAACCCACGAACCATTTGAACAAAAAAAAACCAATGTACATGAAAACAAAAAAATACATAGGAGGATAAATATTGGTAACGTGAAAATATTGTATTACTCTAATAATATAACAATAATATTGGTTGAGCAAAAAGATGACATTGAACAAATTCGAGTTAAAATCGCAAATTTTTAACGATATCGCTGATCATATAGAGAATAGTTTTAACGGATACGTTTTTTCTTTTTTAGTATTAAGAGAAAAATATAAATTTATTATAAGATTCTAATGTGCCATTGTATACGAAGTTAGTAAATTTAATACTCTGTGGTAACTTCGGCGTATTATTCCATATTGATATAAAAAAAAAAAAAAAATAAATATATATTAAAATAAAGTAAATTAATATTTACATTTAATAGATCAAATTCAGGACATGAAAAAATGTAATATGATTAGATAAAAGATAAATATCATGAGAGATAATAACTCAAACTATTCTCGAAGATGCATACAAGTCAATGAACCGTTCCCTGAATATATAACCAAGTATAATATATACAAATAATATTATTATAAACAATTGATAAGAGATTAATACAATGCGATGGTTGAAAAAAAATCTGAGAAAATATCGCAGTCTTTTACAGCGTTTCCGCGAGTTTAATAGTTACCACCACCATAACCAATATCCATACGATTGACGGACAAATAACCACCACTCGATTGCATGTAGGGTGAAACTCCATTACCACTATTGTTATTACCATAGGACATGGAGTTTTGAGGTGGATAAGGAAAATTTGGAGTGGGCATATGTATGTTATGGGTGTTATGTGAATATCCGTTCCCAGGCGGCCCTAATCCTCCATTAAATTGCATTGAGCTGCCATACTGATTATTGTATGGCTGTTGGTATTGTTGTTGTAGTCTGTCCATGTCCATCATAACCCCACCGGAATGATGATGGTTATAATTGATCGGAGGTGGTGGCGGTGGATACGAAGATGATGCAAGGTTGCTAACAGAAAAGTTTGACGGTTGAGACATGGATGCTTGTTGATGATGATGATTTCCACCATTAGTTAACGAGCTCACAGAAAAGTTATTCATATTTCCTTGAGGTGCACAAGGTGATGACGAATATGGATAATTTAAAGAGGGAGAACATGAATAATCTCCAGGCATGTATCCACCTGAATTTGATTCGTCCATATACTGATGGTGATGATGATGATGTCCACTATGTTGATCATTATCGTTCATGTTGGGAATTTGTTCAACTAGCGATTCCAAACCTGATAAACTTTTTGCTGTAACATCTTGATTAGTAATCTTATGCTGTTGATGTTGTTGTTGCTGCTGTTGTTGATGTGGATATCCTGTAGGTGGTGGGGGATAAACTGGGGATTCTGCAGGTGGATAAGCTGGAGATCCTGCTACTGAATCTACAGAGGCCGAGTATTCATCATAACCATGTGATTGAGGATAATGATGCATATCCATTTTCGGGTTAGTTTTTTGTGGTTGTTGAGGTCCACCAACAGAGTTATTAAACTGGCATTCCATTTGGGATGGTCTAGAATGTTGGTCGACACCAATTACATCTTCTTTGGTCACGCCGCCACTGTGTTGACTGCTATGTGGACTGGTATCTTCGGCCAAAAAACTGGTTGGTGGTTCAAAGTCAGGTGGGCCCAAACTAGGGGATGCTGGAGATTGTGATCCAATATTATGTTCCGAAGAGATAGCTGCACTAATTTCTGATGATAAATCAGAATGTGTAAACGATGGAGCTTGAGGTGACTGAGAATACCTGTGTTGTTGTGATTGAATTGGTGAACGATGATGATGGAAATTTGCATTGTTTATTCCACCACCTCCACCACCACCACCACCACCACCATTACCACCACCTCCACCACCACTATTGGAAATTGGTGAATGTGAAGAGCTTGGGTTATTATATATATTGTTTATAACATTATTACCTCCATACAACTGTGACAAGTTCATTGGAGATTGAATAGGTGGAGAAAAACAATTTGATAATTGAGTCGATGGGTTACTATGTTCACAAGATAAAACTGGTGGCACAACACTATTTGCTGGTGGCAACTGGTTTGGATCAGGTTTAATTTTCTTTGGTCGTCCTCTTTTCTTTTTGGGCAATCCTTCTCGTTCTTCAACCACCTGAGGTTTAGGACGCTTAACTTTTACTTCTTCAGGTGCGCCATCTTTAGTTTTTATTTTCTTTGGCCGCCCTCGTTTTTTCTTTTGCACCACAGGAGGTTCTTCTTTTACATCAACTATATTTTCTAATGTTTCTTGATTATCAACTACAGAATTGTAGTTGTTGAAGTATACAGATGGCACTTCATCTTTGGATTCTTCTTCTTTGATATCTGGCTCATAATAATTTTTTAATTTAGTAAAAGAAAATACCACTTCACTGTCGTCAATTTCAGCAACCAGACCATTTAAATAATCTCGAAATTTCTTCAGAGCTGCATAAAATGGTACTTTATCAGCTGCTCTTGGTAACTGGGCACATCGGGCACTAGATGACGGCATTACCCACATATACTATAAAATAAAAATATATTAATAATATTGAAAAATATATTTTATAAAACTACATCAAATGATAGTTAAATATTCTATGTTGAAATATTATATAGCATTATTACTTCCTCGAATATAAATAACTGTTGGAAATAATATAGAACTTGAGTCTATGAAAAATGAAATAATTAGAATTCAAAAATATTAAAATATATAATGTAGTAAAATATGATCATCATCAATGCTAATATCCATGTCCAGTACTGATGATAATAATACACATTGTGACCAAATTATATAATAATTAATTGTAACTATTTACTTCAAGTAGTATATTTATCTATAACATTTATAAGTAATTGATTAGCCGATATCTAATAATTTAATTATTTAAAAGGAAAAAACAAAATGTAATTTACAAAATAAGTTATGTATAAGCTTTTATAGTTTATATTGAAAAAAAATCCTTGTGAATACAATTTTATTATTGATACTATTAGTATATATAAAATACTTGGACAACAAATTCAAAAATGTTATTAAAGAAAGATTACTAACAATATATAATATTAAAAAGATCGATGATTTATTTTTTTGAACTGTACACATTTCAGTGAGAATAAATTTTACTTCTTAACAGATAAAATGATTGAAAATTTAAGAATTTTAAGCATAGTTATAATAACTAAGAACTAATAAAAACAATATCCATAATATAATACACACACACACAACTATAATATTTGTAATATAACAACATTTCAAACAAAATTAATATTATAAATTTTAATAATAACTTATTTATTTCTTACTGTATTTGTTCCATCTACAAGTTCTGGCTGACGACCAAATGTAAAATCTTTTTTGCCAGAAAACACTTCAAAAATAAGTTTTCCATTAAATACTGCAATTTTTGGTTTAAACCGTTGCAACTTCTCTAGAAGAATTTGACTTCCTAAAAGGTTAAATTATATTAAAAAATTTAATAAAATAAAATTAAATTTATTAAAAAAAATAATAAAATAAATCTCCTTTAACTTGATAATTTAAATTTTTTTGATCTTCTAAAACAGTACTTATCTCTACTTGATTAGAACAGAATTTATGTTAAAAAACATTTTTGAATAATTTTTACAAGAACTATTTCAATAAATATATATTTTTAAATAATTCTTATTATTTTTATATCATTGAAGTTGAAAACATATTCAAAAGTTTAATTTCATTGAAAAAAAAAAAGATTTAGAAAAATTAAAGATTTAAATGTAGTCAATAATTCAACAAAACAAAATTTTTTTTAGATAAAATTAATAATATATTTTTAATAACTCAAATCAATTTACATTATATTATATTAGTTTAACAAGGAATCATTATACATTCCATTAATTATAAGTAAAAATAACTTGTATTCGAAAGCAGTAATTTAAAATTAAAATACTTAATGTTATCTATATAGATATAAATGTAAGGTCTAAATGTTGAAACAGCCAATACTTTTAAAAAATACTGAATAATGCAGGGATTAAAATGTTAATCAAAACAGCCCTGGTAAATACATGTTACTATAGTTTAATAATAGTGTAATAGTCCTAAATTTTTTAGTAAATAAATAAATAATAATAGTACGATATCAGAAAATATACATGTAAAAAAAATACTTAACAAAGTGGTAATAATTTAAACAAGTATATTTAAAACTGAATCTTATCAATATAATTATGTATAATATTAAATTTAAATTAAATTTTAAAATAAATTATTTTAAATTTTTCACCAAGTAAATTGTAAGTTAGTTATAAGTTATAAGATAATAATAAATATATTGTAAATAGGGGTGGTTAAATAAAAAATAATAAATTAAAATCAACAGTTTCTAAGTATTATAATTGATTATCTAATATTGGATTATACTAAACATAAATGTATAAGAAATAAATTAAATAGTGTCAACTACAATAAAGAAAACAAACCTTCTTTGATTTCTTTTCTTGTGAGATCAGCACTGCCTTTGGTAGCTCGCTCTACCATATTAGTAAAACCTATACCATTTTGAAGCAGCTTGTAATCATCATCAGCAGTCATAGGCTCTGGAGTAAGACCAGATAAGTACAAACATTTCCCTATAAATATAAAATGTGATAAATAAATAATATATTATTGAATAGTGTATATATTCTAAAAGTATTGGTTCACCAATAACAAATTACTAACAAAGAACATTTCTACTGCTATTTTTCAAATTAATAAATACATTAATAGACTGTAAATATAATTGAGTATTTACTCACAGAAATGATTTCCAGGACCTGCATAATGATGACCTTTATAAGCAGCAAATAGACCAGGATTGATACCAATCTAAAATGATGTTGTTTAAATTAATAAACTTTCATTTTTAACCCTTAACTACCGATGTGCGGTCTGTCAGACCGCCCCAAATATTTGTTTACAATTTACTACTTATACAATGTTCTAAATTTTATTTTATTTTGTAGTACCTTTAAATGATCGATGTCTAGTTAAGTTGGCAATGTTTAATAGTCTTGGGTTTTTTTTTTCCTTGGAAATACAACATTTATATTGAGCGGTCTGTCAGACTGTACATCGGTATAAACTGCCGATCACAATTGGTTATTTTTAGTCTTTCGATTAACTATTATATTTTTGTACCCAAACGAGATAAGGATTTAACACAATACACATTTAATCAGTCATGCCCGTGCGGTCTACAGTTTGTATATTAATACGGTTTTCTTTTTCAATATTCGTTTATTTTTTTATATTTTTTATTTGACAATGAGTGTTCAAAATAAAAGTTCAGAACCAGTAAGTTCAAATGATTTCGAAGCAATAATTGACCAATGGTTAGATTGTGATAGTTATAGAAAGAATGTGATAGTTATAGAGAGTGAACACGACACTAATTCTGAAATTTCAGATAGCGATACAAATTTAGACGATGGTGATTCATAAGACACAACCGATGGACAAGTTAGTAAATTTTATTATGGAAAAAAAAGATTTAAATGGTCACAAAAATCATTTTATAGTCGTAATACTAGAACCTTACAACACAATATCGTAGTAAATTTGCCTGGATTACGAAATAACTATCGCAATAATTCTAACATAACACCTTTACAAGCGTGGTCTTATTTTATTGATGATGGAATTTTATTTGAAATTTTGACTTGGACAAATATTGAAATTTCCAAACACAGAAAAAAATATAAAATATATTCAAGTGATTTAAGAAATGTTGATATTATAGAACTACGAACTTTTATTGGCTTATTATTTTATTCTGCTGTGTTCAAATCAAACCATGAAGATATTTCTTCAATATTTGCGACTGATGGGAGTAGAAGAGATATTTTTCGCTGTGTTACTAGTAAAAACCATTTTTCTATTTTACTTGCATGTCTACCGTTTGATAACCCTGACGATCGAGAGGCCAGAAAAATAAACGATCCTGCAGCTGCTATTTCTGGAATATTCAATACATTTGTTAATAACTGCCAGTCTGTTTATACAATGGGTACATGTGTATGTGTAGATGAAATGTTGGTTGGATTTCGAGGGCGGTGTAAATTCAAAATGTATTTACCACTCAAACCAGTGAAATATGGTTTAAAAATTATGTGTTTAGTTGACGCTAAAACCAATTATTTTTATAACAGATATATATATATATGTTGGAAAAGATTCTGATGGAAATACTTTAGATGAAAATGATAGAAAATTTTCTAAACCTACTCAATCTGTTTTACGTCTCACAAAGCCAATAAATAAAACTAATCGTAATATCACTGCAGACAACTGGTTCACGTCAATTGAACTTATTGAAGAATTAAAAAAAAAGAGGGAATACTTATGTCGGTACTGTCCGAAAAAATAAGAGAAATTCCTCCCGCATTTTTATCTAAAAAAAATCGTCAGGTCGGCGCGTTATTATTTGGTTTTACAAAAAATATTACTCTTGTTTTTTTTACTCCAAAATCAAATAAATGTGTGCTTTTAGCATCTTCTATGCATCATGACAGTTCAATTGAAAATACTGGTAAACCCGAAATAATAGAGTTTTATAACTCAACTAAAGGAGGTGTAGACAGTTTAGATCAAAAATGTGCTATTTATTGTACTGGAAGACGAACTCGACGATGGCCAATGACAATATTTTTACGTATACTAGATATTTCAGGTGTGAATGCTTATATTGTTTATAAAACCAATGAGGATATTAATGACATTGCTAGAATTAATTTTATGAAAAAATTAGCACATTCATTAGTTGTACCCGAGATGGAAAGAAGACTTAAAAATAAGAGAATCAACAAAGAAATAAAATCAAATGTTAGACGCGTTTTGAATATACGAAAAGATTTGTTAAGTACTCCATTACACGATCACTTACTAAATCCTCGTAAAACATGCTATTTATGCCCATCAAAAAAAAAAAAAGAAAAACATCGTATCCTTGCTATTTATGTGGACAACCCATATGCTTGGAATGTTCAAAAAAAGTTTGTAAAGAATGTATAGGAGTCTCGGAAGAAAATTAAAGGTAGATAAATTCGTAATAAAAATATATCAATTTGAATAGTTGTAATTTTTATTTTTTAAATGTAAATAATTATTTTTTTCAGGTTATATCATTAAGGTACGAAGTATAGAAGAAAATAATTTGTGCTTCATTTCAATAGTATGATTAATAATTTTTTTTTAACAATTTTCAAAAAAAAAAAAAAGAAATGTTTTTTTTTCGACTGTGTAAAAGTACCTTTTTTTTATGTATAGATACCGTTTAAAGTACTTCAAATAAATATAATTTAAATTTTGTTTTATTAAAACTCGTATATTTTTTCACTTAGACCAAGTACATGAATATCCGGTCTGGTAGACTGCACGTCGGCAATGATATTATTAATTTTTTATACGTCGGTAGTTGAGGGTTAAATTTTTAATTAATAATACTCACAATTACAATATCCAAATTATTGGTTAAATGATCAGGTAAAGTACGTTTTGATACTTCTTCTTCGGGCATACCATTAAAACGATCATGTTTTTTTCTTTCCTTATATACTTTGGCAGGATTGTTCAAAAGTTTATCTTTTGGTAACATGTGCTGCATTAGACCAAATGCTTGATCAGGGTTTAAGCATTGCAAACTAAAAATAATACATTAAAATAGCATTTTTTTTTATAATACACATATTTTCAATAATAGAATATTTACTTCATCTGATCTTCAGGTTTAAACTTTTTCTTTCTGCCTCTCTTTTTTGGCATATGTTGTAACATCATTTCTTCAGTATATTGTAAGTTTTGTTGACTATTATGATGTTGCAACTCTTCATCCACAAAACTGTATGGGTCATCAGGCATTTCATACTTTATCTGATGCTGCTGCATGTTATTCATCTGATGATGGTGATGAGCATGACCATGATGATGTGGATGCATGTTATGAGTATTCATATGTTGTTGCTGATGATGATGCATTGGAGGTAGCTGGTTCATAATATTATTATGAAGCTGAGCTGCTGCAGTAGTAGCTGCTGCGGCTGCAGCTGCAGCAGTAGCTGCTGCAACGGCTGCTAGTGAAGCAGAATGTTTGGCGGCTGCTTGTTCAGCATCGGTTCCACCACCACTGGTTTCATAACCATCATCAGCACAAGCAGGTTCTTGTTTCACAGATGATGCTTGTTGGCCATTGTTAATATCACAATTACTAAAGCTGTTAGGCCTGTCAACATAATACAACAATTTATATTTAAACATTATAATCTTAAAAATAAAATTATTGCAACCAAAATTAAAAAAAATGTTATTAATAAAAGTGTAAATATTTTTGAAGGTAGATTAATTAATAACAGAATCTAATAATCATTAATATTTTTTTTAATATTATATTATTAAATACAAATCAGACTAAATAACTGACAGTAATTTTCAGTTTAAAATTAAAAACTGAGATAAATGGATATAAGTAAACATAATTTAATTAATAGTTGTAACTACTCAAAATTTGATCATAAAACATAAAAAATAGTAATGAAAAAAATTACTCTTAACTTTCAGTAATATTAAATAGAATGAATTAATTTTTTTTTTTTTATATATTGTACAAATTATCTATAATATATCTAATTTAATAGGAAATAAAATTGATAAATTAAAACTTCAAACGAAATTTAAATGAAATATTTAAATATACAGTTAATATAATTATACAATATTAACAAATGATGGTTTAGTATGCACAGCGATTTATATAATACATAAAAAGAATATAAACACTTATGTATTAAATATTTCAGTAAGAACTTTTAATTTTACTTAATGTAATACAAAGAAATTTACCCTCGCTGAAATATGAGTTTTGAATCGAAACGAAATCATTTTATGAGAAGTTGTAACGTAATATTGATAATTCGTTATAAAAATGTAGAAGTTTAATTTACTATAAATTGATTATTCACAACAACAACAAACGAACATGTATGAACTATTCAACCTTCGATTTCAATTTAAAATGCAATACAATCGAACTTTAGTAATGCAGTTTTTTATTATAAAATAAAGGATGACCTATTATAAAAACGTTCGAATGTTCGATAGTCACAAGATATTTTATGGGATTACCTACATTTATTTTAAATAATTCGAGTATCCAGATCTGTGATAAAACTATGTTGTTGAATAAAAATTAAAGACGTTTTTCCCCAAAAGTTTATCAGGGATATCAAACTAGTTTTAACATACTCGAGTTCTATACACGCACTGTAAGCGATGGGGGTGGTGGGTCCAGAGCGGGCGGCAGCGCAGGGAATAAGAAAGAGGGAGATTAGCAAACTGGGTGTATAGTGCGGTGGCGGTGCGCGGTAGGGTGTATTGATTTATGATTCCAGCCAACAGGCAACCTGGTCAGGATACACACACATATACATATACTTACACACACATAAACACACGTACAGACAGAAACGCGCGCACACTTCCTCCGAACACATTTACCCACACACAAACACAAGTACAGACAGAAACACACACACACACACACACACTTCCTCCAAACACATTTACCCACACACAAACACAAGTACAGACAGAAACACACACACGCATAGACACATACACGTATTTGCAGTTGCCGGAACAAAGGTCGTAAAGAACTAAACACCAGGGATTAATGGTCAATGAATTTATTTAAAAACGAACAGAATCGTGTACAAACGAGCATTTTTTCATTCGTAATAAAAGCAAATAATCACTTTTGATTATTTGCAAAACAAAAAAGCAAAATTGTTTTCCTTGTTGACAAATGTTTACACTTCGAACGAACAATTCTCATAAAATCATGATTACCTACCGTTTAAAGTTTGTAATATATATATACATACATACACCCTTACAGTCTACCTAACCTACGTCAACGCAGATATTTACCATAGTGAAATGACTATCGAATTATAATCGCGACATAATTTAACACATTATTATTATACACCAGACAGTTTAACGGTCTATATAGTACTAAGGTGCATTTGCACAGATAATACTGAAAGCGTTTTAAATTCAACATCATTCAAAATACTTGGAGAATGTAGAAACTTTACAGTTCTGAAAAGTTTTAAATTAATTTGATCTAGAAAAGTGCGAGCTTATAGACCTTTCGAAATATTCTTCGTTTATTATAGCATACCGTTATTTTACTAATTGCGTTAAAAACGATTCCGCATAAACTTGAGTGTTATTTTATGATCTCTATAAGTATACGTTTTTTGTAAACAAATAATTAAATAAAATAGTTGAAATTATTTATTTAATTCATTCTTTTGTAAAAAAAAAAGTTTGGTGAAACCGATTAAAACTTTTATTATTAGGTATGTATTACTTTAACAACAAACAACGAAAACGATTAACAAGCGCGTTTACAAAATAATTACATTCATAAAGTACCTAGAAATTATTATCAATGAAAATTATAATTTCCAAAAAAACGAATTGTTTATAAAGATGTTAAACATTTAACTTTGATGACACGCATAAATACACAGTTAAAACGTTTATTGCGATAAATCGTAACTTTAATCATAATTAATTTAATAGTTAACACTCGTTACTCGATACAAATATAGTTTATCGTTAACCAGTTGATTAATATTAATTATTATTAGCGTTTTAATTTCATATCGAGAATGTCGAGATCTGATTTTCTTGGTATCATATGTAGGTTATCACAGTGATGAAATGAATGGTTAACAGACAAAACTAACACTAAGCAATGCGACGAAGTGGTTGTTCGTGTAGATACGTTTTCTTATAGCTGCGGCGGCGGCGGCGGCAGGTAATATTATTTAAATTTGATATGTCGCGTCATTAATACAACGGTCAATAAACTACGTTAACGGACAACGTATTATTATTATTATTATAATGATTTCATTATAACGCAGAAAGCGTGTGCCAATAATATCATAAGGTATCAAAAATGTATACATGTATATTTTAAATCATCCCTGCTGGTGGTAGCAGCGGCGGCAGTGACGGTGGTATATAATCGAGGAAGTTTATTGATTAATTTTTTTTTTCGAAAGCTACGCATATATATACATACGTACGTATGTGTAGTCTGTTAGCGTGCGTGCGCGCGTGTGCGTGTGTGTGTAGGATATCCTACGGAATTCGGGCTCTTTTCGTTGACGGGGTGCGGCGCGGCGATAGAGTTTCCATAGTCCCCGCCACTTGAAAAATCCGGAACACCGAGGGACACCACATCCTGTACACGCGCGCAGCGTTGGCGTTTCGTATTTCGCCATCGACGAGAAACGCACAAAACCGACTGCCGAACACACACCGAGTATACGCGCGCATATTATTATTATTATTATTATTATTGCGACACGCGGAGGGCAGATAATAATAGATTAGACAATTCACCAGGAGGGAGGGGGAGGGGGTTACCGGAGAATTTCAACGATAACGCGGCGGCGCGGACGCACGACAAGATCGCGTACGACAAACCATGCTGATTTCCGTTTAATTGATTGCGGGGACGTCGAACACGTCGACGGCCGTACCTGTAATGCGCGCGGGAGGTGCAAAACGCTATCTACGCGCGCCCAGTCGTCTCCGAGGGACGGGCGCAACGGTAAACGTTGTAACGGGCAACGGCAACAACAATAATGGTATAGACATTAGGTTAAGCCTCGGCGGCGGTCCGGGTAACAACAAAACGCGAAACGATGACGGTACTCGACGAGATGTTCCCGACGAAGGAGAGAGCGAGCGGTTCGGACCCGATCGCGTGCCGGCGGCGGGACGAGGGGTATCCGGTCCGCCGGGTTTAAGGCACGCTCTGACCGTCTCGGAAAAATGGCGTTCCGCAGATATCTGACGACGTGCACCGCCGCCGCCGCCGTTAACGAAAGCGGTACACGTAGTTATAATAATAAATTCCGCGCGGCCCACCGAGTGTAGTGGTTTTAACTCGGTAAAATCGCCGGGCCTATCCGGCCTTGCGCGAGCCCGCCCGTGCGTGAGCGGACGCGCCGCCTGCGTGCGTGCGTGCGTGCGTGCGTGCGAGCGTACGTGTTGACGACGGCTGTGTGTAGAGGCGTGCCCGGGATCGAAATTCAGGACGAGCAGTACCCGTGTGTAGTACGCACAGCAAGAGTGCGATTTTTTTTTTTTTTTTCAACGTCAAACACACACACACACACGCACACGCACACTGACGGCGTGAGGGGAGGGAGTGATTTTTCTCGTAACGCCGATCGATCCGATAGCAGTCGCGCGCGTACGCCGATTATACACGGTTATCACTGCGCAGCGCAACGGCAACAACATTTAGTGAACAGTTTTTTCTTTCATTTTTTTTTTCATACCACCGATCGTACAGCACTAATTTTGTATCGGAACCGTCGTGCAAACGACGAGAAGAAAAGTTTTGAATGACATGTTTACGCGTTTACCAACAACGTGTATCTAAAATGTTAACGTGTCTGCCGCGCGGTACGTTGTTTAAAACAATCTTTCTCCGGTGAACCGGGTACGGTGTACGACGGGAAAAACGGGAACCCGTAGCGCGAAAAAGTCGACAACGATCGCGTGAAAACGAAAAACAATAATCACGAATAATAACCACGTTGTACCACGTCCACGGTGCCTATTATTATTATTTAACGGCAGGGGGGAGAGGGGGAAGTTCGTAAGTCGACGGTTTTTTTTTTTCGTGTTAACACGCCGCCGGCCCGTCATCAGGGAAAAGCGGTGCGCGAACACGGTGCAAAAAAAAAAAAAAACGCGTGCCGGACACGAACCTCGTGTGTGTCGCAGCACAACGCGGTGCTATTGTACGTGTGACATGTAAATGAAAATTATTAGTGTGCGGTGCGTGGGTATTATAATATCTACATCGGCGTGTCGTTGTGTTTCTACGGCACGGCCGCCAAGCGAACTCACTCGCACTCGCACGCGCACGTCAATCATAACGGGCACCATTCAATCGCGCACGCATAACTAAAAATTGTTCGGAAACATAATGGCCACTACTATATATATATATACTACGGCCATCTACTCCGTGTATTGTAATGTACACATGCCGTAACGTTACGATATCGATGTGCGTGCGCATTTAAAAACACGATAAGAATAAAATATATTATATTATAATTTCGAGTTGGGTGTACAATTATTTAAGTCCACACTGTTGTTCGTTTTCATTTTATCCGCAACATT